AAAAAAAATTATCTTGGAAACTTAATAATAATGCAAAATTGCTAGCCTGTTCCCCAAAGATTCTGATATAGAAAATCTTAGGCCACAGAATTTGCATTTTAAATAATAGTAATAATAATAATGATAATAATAATAATGTATCAAATGATCCTGATACAGGTGGTCCCTGGACATCACTCAGGATTTGGGTGGAGAAGTGGGATCAGAAAGATCAGATTGCATGAGATTTATGTTCAGCTCAATAGGATTAAAGGGAACCCATACAGAGACCCGGGAAGAAGTGGAGAATTTTGCCAGTTCACTGTTTTTTTTATTTATTTTGTTTTGTTTTACTAGTACTTTAAATATAACATGTGTCGTCTGTATTTTCCCACTTATGCCACCTTCTTGGTATTTTATTCACATTATTCATTTTGATGTGACTTTCTTGTTTTAACTTAATGATTTCTAAACCTTTATAACTTTTTTTAAAATGCCTTCTCACCTGGAAGCTCACTATAGATGTACAAATGAGATGAAATGGAGCCACTCCATTGGAGGGAGACGGCCCAGCTCCTAGCCCACAGTCTGTCAGCATATGAGACGATGTCTTTTGGGTACTTTTTAAATAAGATTGTCTTCATAAGAGTATAAGCACTCTGTTTTCATCCAGTCCTCCCCTTTGCTTTGTCTCATCTTATGTGTTTGTAAACTGTACACATTCCCCTGAATTTTCAGACTTGACACATTTTAATTCTAGGAACCAATCCTTATATATTACTCTTCTGCAATAGAACAGATCCCTCTTTCTCACCAATGTTACCTGCCATCTGTCTTTATTACATCCAGGATTTCATTGTGAGTTACCTGAGGGATGGGACCCGGGTCTCATTCAACTTATGAGCTTCCCAGAGCCCAGTGGCACAATAGGTGGTGCCTAATCCAATTATAGTAAAAAGACTGTTTTAGTTTTCGCTCAATAAGCTTGATGGCAGACAAGGTAGGCAATCTGGTGTGGGGAAAACTTTCACTATTTGGCATTTTCTCTGATATAGGCTTTGACTGATATATGCAAAATCAGTTCCCATAACAGGTATCCAAACTTAACTCCAATTCATAATCAACACTAAAAAATAATTAAGGGTCACACATATTTCTGATACCAAGAGAGTATTTATTGAGACAGTTACTATACTACACACAATTCATTGCAAAGACCAAACCATGCACAGCAATCATAGGATTAGGGGCCTATCCCATGAAGGAGTGGAGACATTTGGTCATCTGACTCAATGCCAAGGCAACAGGCATACAGCAATAGGCATAAAGGTTTTGCATGGTATTTAGTTTAAATTGTTGCTTTTAAAATAGTTGCTTGGTGGCATGATGCAGGGATGAATGAATCTTGTAACATCAAAACAGGGCCAGGTGCTGTGGACAAAGGAAATGAGAACAAGGTTGATACACTGGTAGTTGGCTCAGGGCTGGTGGTGAGGAAGGAGGTTCAACAAGAGGATCCACAGCAGACTGGGCGGCAGCAGGTGGTCTGGCAGCAGACTGGACGGCAGCAAGTAGACACACAGCAGCTGGGGCGGCAGCAGCTGGAGCCACAGCAAGAGGGGCGGCAGCAACTAGGAATGCAGCAGCTGGGGCGGCAGCAGCTAGAGATGCAGCAGGTGGGGCGGCAGCAGCTGGAACCACAGCAGCTGGAACCACAGCAGGAAGGGCGGCAGCAGCTGCTACCACAGCAGCTGGAACCACAGCAGGAAGGGCGACAGCAGCTGGACACACAGCAGCTGGGGCGGCAGCAGGTGGTCTGGCAGCAGCTGGGGCGGCAGCAGGTGGTCTGGCAGCAGCCTTGGCCACAGCCCTGGTCAGAGCAGACGGAGCCACAACAGGAGTTGACCATGGTGTCAGAGGGTGGAGGTTCTGGGTGGGTTTCCAAGAAGGTGGATTTGGAAGGTTTGGAGGTCTGCTTGCCCCAGGTCCCCTTTTATACCCTGTTGAGGGAGCTTCTTCCTTGTTATTGTTTATCTTAATAGATAAGCAGTTGTTCAATTAGATAATTATAAGCGTTTTTTCTTGTGAAGTTAAATAGAATGCATTTTTCCTTTCTATGATGCATCTTCACTCTAATCTTGCCTTCAAACCAACTCTTGCGTTTCTTCCTTGTGTGTATCATCTAATTTTCAAGACTGCAGCTCTCTCCTCCAGTTGGTGGTGATGGGACTGACCATTTGTTACTAATGTCCCTATGTTTCCCTTTTTCATGACTCAACCTAGGCCTAAGCTGTGAGTCATGAGTTCAGGGCACACGGCAGAGGGGGCCCAAGCTGGGGAAAGTCAATGGGAATGAAGTAATTCTTGCTCAGAATGATGTACTGAGGGTCCTGGAGGGGAGAAGACCCCTGTCTGAATCACTGTGAGTTTCTTGAGCAATGAGGAAGGATGTGGCTCCAGGTGCAGGCTGGTGGTGAGTGAGCCGGGAGATGAATCCCAAGCGATGCATTTTGGCATATTTCCTCAGGTCGTTACTCATTCTTATTGGCAGTATTGCTCTGTTTAGGAATCAAAATTGCACATGAAATTATCATATCTCTTCTATATGAAATAACCAAGTGACACAGACCCCGGGTAGCAAAACCTGGAATTCTGTATTTTTCAGAAGCTGCCTAGGATGTTCGGGGAAGGTGCCCATGAGAGCCCAGGGCCATGACCTTCTCTCCCAACTCCTCACTGGTGCAATTCCACCAATGAGAATAAGGCCGGAAGTGAAACACACTGGGACTTCGTTTTCTCAAGAAGGTGGAACAGGCGTAGGGAGGGCTCCATGGCGTAATAAGCCAAGGTTTTGACAACAAGGCGGGAAAGACCAAGGGCTTAGTGACTTGGGAGCAAATGTGGGTCAAAGCTCACTTACCTTGATCCGGAAAGATGGCTGCTTTTCTGAGCCACGTGGAAACTCGGCATAGAGAGAGAAGCACCTCTACTTGTTTCCTGCAGTTCTTGGGAAATTCGCTGATTTGGAGGGCCCTGGAAAGGAGGTGCACTGATGGATACAACTGTGTCTCTTCCGTCCAGCTAGAGATGGACTAAGCCTCCCTGATCTCCCTCAGTCAAGCCTACCTGCTCTCAGCGAAGCCCAGCCTCATTGCCCACACCCCACTTTGCTTATAGAGAAGAGTGCCGTGTGGGGAGGGGCAAGCTGATGCAAGGAGTGGGGACCCACCTGAGTGCCCACTAGTAGTGTGGGGGCATCACAGTAGGAAAAGTGGGTCTCTACTCTAGTCCTGGTGCCCGGCACAGATTCTGCCCAGAGGGAAGGGCAGGTCTTAAGGACTAAGAGTTTTACAGCTCTCCCTGAGGAAACTGACTTTATTTGGAATGGAGCTTGGAGAATTCCATGCCTAAGGGCATCGAAACAGTGGCAATCTCGGTGGAGAATACTTACAATGAGGCTGGTAGCTCCTCGTAGAGCATAGCCAACTCTGACGGCGGAAGGCTGTGGGACATAATCGCATATTTCGCCCCCTTTCTTCTCTTAACTGATTTAAAAGCAATTGCATAAACAATATGCAAATAATTGTACTGTTGGGATTATAACAACTGGATATGTAACATATTTGACAATGGCAGGAAGGAAACAGATGGGAGCAAAGCTGTATTGGAGTACCGTATTTCCCCATGTATAAGACACACTCTTTCCCGAAAAATTTGGGGTCTAAAAACTGGGTGCATCTTATACAGTGGTTGTAGATTTTTTTTACTTGCATTTCCTGCTGAGGATGAGGCAATATATGAAGACAGTGATTCGTCATCAGACATAGATGAGGACAAGCTAATGATTGGGAGTTTTGACAGTGATGAGGAATTGTATGAATTTTATGATGAATAAAACTTGAGTTCAATAACTTCATGCAATACATTTTTTTTTCAAATTTCGGACCCCAAAATTAAGGTGCATCTTATACATGGGGAAATATGGTAGGATAATGACATCAGATGGTAACTTGAATCTACAGGAAGAAATGAAAAGAACCAGAAAGTTTACATAATAAGGTTAATATAACTCTACAGATATATACTTTCTCTCCTGTCTTTGCTCAGCTTATTTAAAAGACATAAAAACATACAAAGTGATGGCTTCGGCCTCCGCTGCTGCCCTCTTGGGCCGCGGGGCCCGGAACCTGCTGTAGTTTCTGCGGCTGGTGGGGCAGCTCAAGAGAGTCCCACGCACTGGCTGGGTGTATAGAAATGTCAAGAGGCCAGAGAGTGTATCAGATCACATGTACAGGATTGCAGTTATGGCTCTGGTGACCAAAGATGACCATCTCAACAAAGACCGATGTGTCCGCCTAGCCCTGGTTCACGATATGGCAGAATGCATCGTTGGGGCCATAGCACCAGCAGATAACATCCCCAAAGAAGAAAAACATAGGTGAGAAGAGGAAGCCATGAAGCAGCTGACCCAGCTTCTCTCAAAGGATCTTGGAAAAGAGCTCTATGAACTTTGGGAAGAGTATGAGACCCAGTGTAGTCCAGAAGCCAGATTTGTGAAGCAGCTGGACCAATGTGAGATGATTCTTCAGGCATCTGAATATGAAGACCTTGAGAAGAAGCCTGGGCGACTGCAGGATTTCTACAATTCCACAGCAGGAAAATTCAGTCACCCTGAGATAGTCCAGCTTGTTTCTGAACTTGAGGCAGAAAGAAACGCTAACATAGCTGCCTCCGCCAGTGAGCCATGTTCCTGAGTTGGTCTCTATGTTGTTGCACTCCTGTAACAAACATTTTATTTTTCCATTTCATAATACTGTGTTTTGCCACTGTTGGTCTGTTGATTTCCTTAGATGTGAGTCTGTTTATTTTCAATTCCCTGGACTCCAACAAGAAACGTGATACATTTTGGGCAATAAAAGAAGCTACAGAACAGGATGTGGTCATGGATGAAGATTTGGGGGTGGGTGCCTTTTTATGAACTAAATTAAATAAATTTAAAAACCTTAAAAAAACAAAAACATATAAAGTAATAATTATAGCAACGTATTATTGAGTTTGTAACATATATATGCAGAATATGTATAACAAAATTAGCACAAGAAAAGGAGACAGAGTGGAGTTAATAAGAATAAAGTTTCTATGTTTCACTGAAATGAAATCAGTATAAATGTGAAGTACTTTAAGATAAATCAATGTATATATTTTAAGCCCCAGAGCTTAAACACTTATATAATATGTATAGAGTTTACACACACACACGCACACACACACGCACACACTTACTAAAGGAACTTAAATGTTACACTAGAAAATACCCATTTAATACAATAGAAGGAAGTAAAGGATAAGGAAATATGGACTCATGTCCAGGATATGTGAAGAATTCCTACAACTCATATAATAAAAAGAAAAATAACCCAATTAAAAACGGACAAAGAATTTGAATAGACGTGTACAAAGATGGTACACAAATGGCTTAACATGATGCTCAACATCATTAGTCGTTAGGGAAATGCAAATCAAAACCACAATATACCACTTTATCCCCACAGGACTTAAGAGACAGATAAGAAGTGTTGGTGAGAATGTACAGAAGCTGGCACCTTTATACATCACTGGTGGAAAATAGTTTGGCGATTTCTCAGAAATTAACCATAGAGTTATCACGCATAGAGACCATTCCACTCCTGGAGGTACACCGAAGAGAAATGAAAATATCTGTCCATGTAAAACGTTATACACAAATATTCAAAGCAGCATTATTCATAATAAAAAAGTGAAAACGACCCAAGTGTCCATCAGCTTATGACTGGATAAACAAAATGTAGTGTACCCATACAATGGAAATTATTTGCCAATAAAAAGGAATGAAGTATTGGTATATGCTACAATGTAGATGAACCTTGAAAACAATACACTAAGTGAAAGAAGTCAATCACAGAAGACCACATGTTGTACAATTCCATATACAGTAAAACCTTGGATTGCGAGTAATGTGGTTTGGAGTGTTCCACAAGACGAGCAAACGTTTCTAATACATTTCAATGTGGTAAACGAGCGATATCTTGCAATATGAGTAGTTTGTTTCTGGAACGAATTATGCTCCCAAACCAAGGTATTACTGTATATGGAATGTCCAGAGAGGCAAATCTATAGAGACAGAAAGTAGATCAGTAGTTGCCTACAGTTGGGGTGGAACTGGGGGCATGGGGAGTGACTGCTAAAGGGCTATGAAGTTTCTTTTCAGGAAGATGAAGATGTTCTAAAATTAGTTGTGGTGATTGTTGCACACCCTGTTTAGAGTCTAAAAACATTGAACTGTATACTTTTAATGGGTGAACTCAGTGGTTTTTAAATTAAATCTCAATAAAGCTATTTTAAAATTAAGGATAAATATATTAGTTATCAGAATAAATTTGAAGGGAATAAAATCTCCAACTAAAAGAATGGTGACTCAGAGCCACACAAATATACTGAACTGATTTTTTGACAAAGGAGCAAGTTGGACATCCATCAGCAAAAAAAATAAAAATAAAAACCTCAACATCAAGTTTCACACTATAAAAAAATTAACTCAAATGCATCAAGAACTTAAATGTACAACATAAAACTAAAATTTTTACAAGAAAACATAGGAAAAAAATCTTTGGGATCTTGGACTAGGTGAAGAGGTTTTACAATTGACACCAAAAGTACAACCCATAAAAAGAAAATTGGATAAATTGAACTTCATCAACATGAAAAGCTTTTGTTCTGCAAGATACGCTGTTAAAAGGATGAAAAGACAAGCTGCAGAATGGGAGAAAAATTATAAACCACATATCTGACAGAGCACTAGTATCTAGAATATATAAAGAACTCTCCAACTCAATAGGAAAAGAAAAAAAAAGCAAATGGTCCAATTAGAGC